TAGATTTCTCTGTTTGAGAGTTAAATTTGAGTAAGAAAAATGGATTATTTATATGTGTGGACGTGTCGTATCGAGTTTCTTGATGTTGAAGGGTTGCGGTAGCAAATTCTGGTATAGGACCTTTATTTGAAATCTTGTGTGCTGTTAATTCAATGGTTTGTCCTGAGTTGGTGCCAGACTCGATTTTGTTTTCGGTGATCATGTCTAGCTGCGACGGTTGCTTTCTCTATTGTGCTTGTTGTTTGATTTTGAGTCCTTTGCTTGTTTAGGAGTTTAAACTTGTAGCTTGATTTTTGATACATTGTTTATAATTCAGAACAGGCTTCATAATATACTTGCGATTTAAATCGAAATATCGGGTTGTGTTATTTTAGACTAGATATTCTATAGAATTTTTTTGAGAAAGATATAATTGTTCATAGTAGCCAAATTAGTGTTGAGCTAGAAAAGTGGTAAAGTAAGAATCACTAAATTCAACTACATCACAGTGTTGAAATAACGGCTTCCTTGATTATCCCAAACTCCCTGTATATTTTTCATCCTGGAGCATTATGTAGTAAGCTCCACAATACAAAACACTGCCAATTCTAAGCATTAAGTAGTAAGCTCCATAGTGGCAGCAACAATGTCTCCATTGGCAACTTTGAGAGCTTTAACAGCTCTTGATCTTGGCACACAATCTTGAGACACCACCAACTCGATATCCTTGGGATCAACATCAGTCTCGTCTACATCTTCCTCTTCCGGAGAAATACCAGAGGATTCTGGCTTCGCTCCAACATTTCTCAAATTAGAAGCCTTGAACTGTTCAGATGCCTGAGTTGGTAGCTATGAACTCGAGCCTTCAATCTTAGCATCACCAAAAATAATGTAGGTGTTGGAAGTTAGGCTTTTGGGCATTTGCAGTATCAATCTTAGCTTCAATAAATGTTATTCATCGGCCATTGGCAGTACCATACACCTTCACTCCTGCATCATTCGCCCAAGCAACAAGATTTGCTTTCCACCTCAGAGCATGTATTGAACCCTCACCAGAGTGCAAAACCTTTTTTGGATGAGCGGACAAGATAGGAGAAATGTCACCGTTAAGTTCAAACTGTTTCAAGTACCCGATATCAGCGTTTTGTGAGAGAATCTGAATTTGGCAATAACTTCAGAGATAACCAGCATTTCCCTGAAGTAAGCAGTCTTCTGATTTTTAGGCACTAATTTTTTTGAAAAATACGCAATAGGGTGGCCATCTTGCTGTAGTACTGCACCGACTCCAATACTCAATGCGTTAGTTTCCAATACAAAAGGTTTTTGAAAATTTGGTAAAACCAACACTGGTGCAGAAGTGGTCGCTAACTTTAATTTCTAAAAAGCAGTATCTGCTTGCTGATTCTAAACATAACTATCCTTTTTTAGAAGACCAATTAAATGAGAAACTAAGTTAGCATATGACTTAATGAATCTTCTATAATACCCAGTCAAGTCTAAAAATCTGCTCAATTGCTTTATATTTTGAGAAACTGGCCATTTTAAGACAACTGTGACCTTGTCTTTATCCATAGAAACACCTTCTCCATTCATAATGTGACCCAAGTACTCGATTTCTCTAAACCAAAATGAGCACTTGGATAGATTGACAAATAAGGTATTATCTTGTAATACTTTGAGAACTGTCGCTAGATGTCTTAAGTGTTCCATCCAATTGGTGCTATAAACCAATATATCATCAAAAAAACACCAAGACATTTTCTTAAGGCATGTTGGAAGATGTGATTCATTAAACTCTGGAATGTTGCAGGACTATTTGTCAATCCAAATGGCATGACCAACCACTCATAGTGGCCATGATGTGTTCTAAAAAGATGTTTTGTACCTGTGTTTTGGCTGAACCAATATCTGATGGTAGCCTGATTTGAGATCCAATTTGGAAAAATTTTTTGCTCCAAATAGTTCATCTAACAAGCTCATCCACTGTTGGAATTGGAAAATAATATTTGATTGTTAGAGAATTAAAATCTCTATAGTCAATGCAGAACCTCCAAGTTCCATCTTTCTTTTTCACTAAAATAATTGGTGAAGAGAATGGACTAGTGATGGGTTGAATGATCCCTTGCTGCAGCATTTCCTGAACCATGTTCTTAATCTGATTTTTCTGACTATGAGGGTACTTGTAAGGTTTAACCTTAACAGGATTTGAGCCTGACAATAATGGTATAATGTGATTTTGTGCTCTGACAGTGGGCAAAGATGATGGAGCTTGAAAAATATCTTTATAGGTGTGTAACATCACTGCAACTTCAGGTTCAGTATCAGTTGGCAACTCTATGAAAATATCTTCCTTCTCATGAGATTTCAACCATTGGATGGTGAAGAATTCTGCAATTGCATCAGTAGTGTGAAGTCTCCTAAAATGATGGAGTTGAGCTGCAGCAGGTGTAACTGTAGTCTCTCCTATTAATCTCATAAATTTCCCATTTAAGAAAAACTTGAGTGTCAATGTTGAATAATCAACAACATGTGGCCCTAATGTTTCTAACCAGGATGCTCCCAATATAACATCAGCTCCAGCCACCAGAATACGAAAACTGGCACTTCTACTTCGTGGCCTTGCATCTCAATTGGTAATTTTTTTTATCACCCCTTCATAAGTTATTATCTCTCCATTACCTACCAATACTTTGAAGATTGGTGCTGGTTCCCACAGGTAATTTGAGAAATTTTGCTATCCTTGGTTGCAAAAAATTATCCGAGCTACCTCTATCAATAAGGATTTGCACTTTAATATGTTCAATGGAACCCGAAAATCTCAACACACCCATGTTACTAGTACCTTTTCATGGCATTCAAAGATAGATGATGTTCAGTTTGGTTAGTCTCAAGGTTTTCAATGGTCATGTCTGGTGGCTTATGCATTGTGTGTCTAACAGTTGGTCTTCATCAGTGTAATCATATTGACAGTTTGCACACAGTTTGGTTTAGTTCACCATGAGATGCAGTTCAGTTCTTTAACTTTTGACATGGTTGGGAAACATAAAACGTGTGAACAAAACAAATGAGAATCTTGGCAAGAACATTCTCGGGACAAAATCATGGATTTATGAGGACTTCATCATCCGTGACAGAAGTTCACACATAAAAGAGTATACAGAACCTTAAAGTTAAAGCGGACAAGGGTCTGCAAAGCAAGCTGTATAAGAGCAGAACCACTAAGCTCTGAAACTTGCTGACTGATATTTATAATTGTTCCTTTACCGATGCTTTGCATAGGCCTCCCTAGATAAGGAGATTTAGAAAGAACCATAGATATACTGTCCAGTAGCCGGTCTTGAATGGTTGGCATCAGAGATGGAATGCTGAATAACAAAGATATAAACTACTTATAAACTATTTACTGAATAGTTGAAATTTCTGTTCAAAGTTGGACTCATACCTCATACTTATTTGCTCAAGAGTTTCCACAAGAACAGTCGAAAGACCAGATGAAAACATAACATCCAGAAGGTCGCGAATATGAGGTTCAGTAGTAGGCCCCATTGCTTTTGCTATATTTCCCACGCATGCCAAGGCCTCAAGTGAAGGTTTATTCCTACAGGGAGCAATCTGCATTTATAAAATACCTACTGTCAAAAGATGGCATTGTCATGTGTTATAGAACATAAAAATAACCAACCTTTAAATAAGAAATGAAACAAGCAACAAGAAAATAATACGGCTCAAGACTGGCATCAATAGTGTAACATACTGCCTCACGTAAATGAGTACATATGGTCGGCAAATAATGGCTAAGTTCCCCATCCAGTGCTAAAGCCATCTCTGAGAGCAATAAACCCACTATCACGATCTTGAGGAACTTTTAAGACGAAAATAATATGATTCATGCATATCTGCACAAAATTTCATTTCAATAGGCACTTAAGTAAAATTTTGAAATATCACAAAATCCATCATTCTCCTCCCAGTATAAAAATCAATTAATAGGGAAAATTAGCATACAGTTAAATAGTTGGTAACAGAACGATCACGTAGAAAATGTGCAATTTGAGGTAGCAACAAAGTTATGCTCAAGCGAACAAGTCGATCTCGATGCTCTAGATATCTAAGAACAATTTTGGCAACTTCTCGGTATCTTAACATCATGAACTCTCCAGTATTTCTTCACAGCCATAATTAGTACCAGACAAGTTAATTCCAAAAATATTGAGAAGATTTATAATTATAATCAAAGACATATTTTATGATACTACATTAAGTAAATAAAAAAAGATAAACTGATTTCCATAAACAAAATAGTCCTTGTAGAAATTTGTAGATGACAGAAGCCCAATAGGCACAAACTCAATGTTTAATTTCAATTGTACATGCACGTTGACAAAATTATGCCTAACCATTAGGCGTGTCAAGAGCATGTTACATTTTGTCTATAAGTAGGGGTCTTGTAAACTAGCTTAGAGTAGATTTGACTAGCTTATTTCACCTATCTTGTAAGGTTTTTTCACTAGCTTATAACTTCCTGTAGACATTGTTTCAAGTAATATTTGAGCTAACAGTTTATTTTCTAAATTTTACCAGAACTATTTTAATTAACTCATTTGTCTACCCTCACCCCGCAAAAAATATTGAATGAGAGGAAATATGCCACTTGCAACTATTGTGCACTAGTTGTAGTATACTTGCATTATCTAACTGTTTCTGACTAATTCCTAGTTGTGTGAGTCTATAAATAGATCACACATATTGTAATTCAATTGAGAATTATCTCTATCAATCAGTAATAATATAGAATTCTAACATGGATATTGAAAGGTTTTCTTCAATACTTACATTGATATCCTGTTTAAAATTAAATGTATGTCTTGGGTTCATTTTGGTTAGAGTGTAACTTTTGTCTTTGAATGGCATCTGGTTTTGTTGCTGTAAATATTTGTATTTAGAGTGTTTGTTTTTTTTTATTTTATAGGATTTGCTTTGAACTTTACTGTTGTATCTATCTATGTCTATTTTTTGAAGAAATGGATAAGTCATGGATTACTAAGCCACAATCATCGATTGCATATCAACAAGGGATGAAAGAATTTATTGATTTTGCATTTAAAGGTGCAAAAGAAAACGGCGTAGTAATATGCCCTTGCAAACACTACGGTTTCAAAAAATCAAAGAGTATGAGTGACATGTTCGACCACTTAATGTGGTCACCATTTCCGCAGGGATACACCATGTGGATTCATCATAGAGAGTCCTTTGTTGTACCTAGTATTATCTCCCCTAGTACTACTCAAAATATGGTTGAAGATACTATCATTTTCGAAGATCCTATTCATAACATGATCAATGATGCATTTGGAGTTGATATGAATCATGCTAATGAAATACCATCTGCGTCAAATTTAGAGATTGGCCAAGAAGATTATGTGATGCTAAGTGCAACTCAGGAAATAAACGAAGTCAAGGAGTACTATGAATTGACTAGATAAGGAGAACAACCTTTATATGAAGGGTGTAGACGATATTCAAGACTATATTTTTTAGTTAAGTTGTACCATATAAAATGTTTATGTGGATTGAGTGAGAACGCAATGACAATGATTTTACAGTTAACTAAAGATGCATTTGAATATGCAAACGTTCCAAGTTCGTTCTATGAAGCCAAGAAATCAATCACAAAACTTGGTTTGAATTATGTAAAGATACTTGTATGTCCAAACGATTTTATGCTTTATTGGGGAGAAGATGAAGAAAGGGAGACTTGCAAAAATTGCAACACTTCAAAATGGAAAACAAATGAAGCGGTCTTTGTTAACAAGAAAAAGAAAAAAAAATTCCTGCCAAGGTTCTTCGTCATTTTCCATTAAAACCTTGATTACAGAGATTATTTTTGTCAACAAAGACGGTCGAGGATATGAGATGGCACGCAACAGATGCTAACAACGATGGAATGTTGAGGCATCCTAGAGATTCAGAAGTTTGGAAGAAATTTGACTTGACACATACTTGGTTTTCATCAGATCCGCGAAATGTGCGTCTTGCATTGGCTAGTGATGGTTTTAATCCTTTTGGTGTGATGAGTACAAACAATAGTATTTGGCCAATTGTTCTCATTCCATATAACACTCCTTCATGGGTTTGCATGAAACAGACATCATTTATTATGTCAATGATAATTCCTGGAAAAGAAGCACCAAGAAATAATATTAAGGTCTACTTACAACCCTTAGTCAAAGAGCTGAAAGAGTTATGGACAATTGGTGTCGATACATACGATTCTTTCAAGAAAGAGATGTTCAAGTTGCGTGCAAATTTGATGTGGACGATTAGTGACTTTCCAGGTATGGGTGCACTTTCTGGGTGGAACACATACACAGAGCTTGCTTGCCCATCGTGTAACTTTCAAACTACACCTCTCCGTCATAAAGCTAGCCGTAAATGGTATTTTATGGGTCATCATCGTTTCCTTGATCGGAGACACAGGTTTAGATTGAACAGGATCCGCTTTAATGTTGAACAAGAAATACAGAGTCCACCGAGAATATTATTTAGACATGAAGTTTTTGAACAGGTTAAAGGTATTGAAGTCATCTTTGGTAAAAAGCCAGTGAAAGAAAAATCGCTAAAAAGAACATTTGAGGGACAACCTATAGAAGGTGACAGTACACAGTGTGATCCTACACTAGGTCATCCTCAACAATGGAGAAAAAAAAGCATATTTTTTGAACTTTCGTATTGGAAGGATAATCTTCTGCGCCATAATCTTGATCCAATGCATATTGAGAAAAATGTGTGTGATAATGTCCTATTTACTTTACTAAATGATATGCAAAAGAGTAAATACAATTCTAAAGCTAGAGACGACCTTCAAAATATGGGCATAAGACCTGATCTTTGGCCTGATGAAAATGATAGAATTTCTCCAGCAGCCTTTAGTTTAATGGGTAAAGATAAAAGGAATTTTTTAACAACTTTAAGGAATATTAGGGTGCCTAATGGTTATTCAAGTAACATTTCTAGATGCATTGACTTAGTAAATCTCAAGGTGAATGGAATGATGAAGAGTCATGACTGTCATATATTAATGGAACAACTTCTACCATTAGCCATTCGCAACACATTACCTCATGAGATTTCAACAGTTTTGATTGAGTTGTGTTCATTCTTTAGATAATTATGTGCCAAGGTATTGAAAATTGAAAAATTGGAAGAATTGCAAAACCAAATTATCCTCACTTTATGCCACATGGAAATGTTATTTCCTCCCTCGTTCTTCACGGTTATGGTTCACTTGGTTGTTCACCTTGTTGAAGAAGTTAAACTTGGAGGTCTTGTTCATTATCGATGGATGTATCCTGTTGAAAGGTAAACTATGTGCACTAGTGTAAAAATACTTTCTTAGCAGAGGTTTTTAAGTCAGTTCATCAATAACCCGACTTAAGAAGCCACACGGTGGCAAATCCGTAAATATTTGAAACTTTGTTATGTTGTGTCTATGTTTAACCGACCTAACAAAAATTAAATAAAAAAATGTAATTTACATTAAATTTCTTAAGTCGGTTCTTTTACCGAAATGACGTAACAAGTTTATTTATTAAGTCACGTGTTTATTACCTGACCTAAGAGGTTCTTACAAAACCCCGGTTCGATTCCTACTTAATACATTTTAGTGAAATAAAACAATTATAATATAATTCATGTTGAAAACTATTTATAAAATTAAAATGATTTCTTTCATATTAAAGCCAAACCCTAAAAATTGTTGAACCACACTGTATCTTCTTTGCGGTTCATTCTGGGGGCTTCGATTCATGCTTTCATATTACATTTTCTGCCATTTTTTCTTTCTACCTTCTCCTTCTTCCACTTTCTCCATTCTCACGATTTTCAATTTTCCGTTTCGCATTTCTCGTGTTCACGATTAAACGTTAACAATTATGATTTTCTTCATCGGGGATATGGCGAATGAAGGAGTTGTCCGGCCGACGAAGATAAAGATTGGAGTATGTTTGATGGAAAAGAAGGTGAAATGTGGCTTCGAGGTTCAATCTCTCTTTTTGATTTTTTCTTTGTTTTTCACGCTGAATCCAGTTTTTTCTTCTTCGTTTTCATGTTTAGCTCAAAATAGAGACGAGTTTTTGTTGTTATGAATGTGTATGATTCCGTTACTCTGTTTTTCATTGCAGGTTTCTTCCGCTCCTATGGAGCAGATTCTTCAGAGGTTACAGGAATTTGGTGAATTTGAGGTAGGTGTATTTTCGATTCATATCATCATCATTGATTTGTAATTGACTAGTGCACTGTTTAGAAAATAGATTACTAACTTAGAACCTCCATAGCACTGACTTCTTTGAAAAAAGTTGAGTCTATGTTGGTGCCCGTCGGAAACCGGTACTAACACTAAACCCTAAACTGAGAGATTACTAACTGTTTGTTTGGATAGATGGAAAACAAAAGAATGGTAACAATGCTGATAATGATTCCCTTGTACAACATATTTACTTATGGAAAGTAGAGAAATTCACATGTGTATAATTGAGAGACACTGTAAGGAAAAGAAATGGAGGAACAACTATAGCTTTATTCACTTTATGGTGTTTGTTGCGGTGAGAATCAGATATCAAGCTATTGTATTAACTTGAATATTTAATTCTTAAATTCACAACCGAACTTTAATTTATCCAAAAGGAAAGGTTTAAAGAAAGAAAAACCTATAAAAATGCAAAGCAAAAGGAAGACCTAAAGCTAAGCAAAGAGATCTAAAGGTTCGGGGGTTGGTTATACCTAGGGAAGGTGTTAGCATCCTAAGTATCTATAGTAATATACAGGAACCTCTTGTTAATACTTGTGTTATGCTAAAGTTTGCTTGCTAAGGAAAAGTGCTAAGGGTAAAGACCTAAAGTATATACAAAGTATGTTCGCCAAGACATCGCATCTCGTGCCTACGTATCCTGACGGGAATAGAATCAGAGCAATTGTAGTTCCCCTAACTAGGGGTGTGGAACTCTTGATTGTGGTCAAGGTTCCAGAAGGGATTTAAGCATTCATAGGAAAGTACTTACATGGAGTGTAGTGACTCCTGAATCTACGTTGAGATTGTTATGGTCGAGAATGTCCACGGCAGAACGCTAAACATGAGTACGGCGACTCAGATCCTAAGGCTAGGATAAAGGGTAAAGGTAAAGGATATCCACGGCGGAACAACTACCCGGAGCACGGCGACTCCGATCCTAAGTTGCGAAAGGTAACATGACGTTAGTTGTTAGTGAGCTCGCCAAGAAATCGCATTTTGTGCCTACGTATTTTGAACGAGAAATCAGAGCGCTCGTAGTTCCCCTTACTAAGGGGGAAGGAACTCTTGACTGTGATCAAGGTTCCAAAGGGAAAGTAAATGTCTGCAGCTATACACTTACATAGAGTGAGGAGACTCTAAACTAGAGTTAAATTTAGCAAAGAAGGGAATATCCACGGTGGGACAACTAAATAAAGCACGGCGACTCCAAGTTCTATGGTTTTAAATGTTAACAAGAAATTATAACAATAAAAAAGCATTAAGAATTAATAAAATGTAGAAATGTCATGATTAAGTTAAAAAATAAAATAAAATAAAACTAAAATGTAATTAATCTAAATCTAAATGAGAGCTAATTTATTAATCTAACTAAAAAAAGCTAAATTATAAAATCCTAACAAAAAACTAAATTATTATTGAAACTAAGTTGAAATTCTAATTAAAAACTAAACTAAATTCTAAATGAACAAACTAACTAATACAAGATAACTAAACTAAATATTAAATCACTAAAGTCTAGCTACTAAATAAATCACTAATTAAAATGAACTTAAATAAACATCTAAACAAAACTAAATAAATAACTATCTAAATAAAACTAAATAATAATAACTAAACAAAATTAATTAACCTATTGACATTATAAACTAATAAACTATCTTAATTAAAATGAAATAAAAACTGAAAAAACAAATTAATTACTAAAAGGAAACTGGTCCGAACATATAGGAGTGGGTCGGTTCAGGCTTGACCTATTTGGTTCAAAAGATAACAACTAAAAAGGGAAAAAGAAAACCTAACAGCCGTGAGAGAAAAAGCAATAAACTTGAGACAAACCCGGTCACCACTCTCTTTCCCTCACTTTCATCTCGCTATTTCTCTCTCTGGATATTCTCGCTATGTTTTCGCCGTTTCAGATTAAACACTTCGTTTTCGCGACGCAAAAGGATGGGGATTTAACAGAGTTACCTTGTCTGATACAAATTTGTGTGGTTCGTTTTGTATCTGGTTTACTTCTTCAACTCAACTCTTGTTTTGATTTCAACTTCTACTCATTTCATCTCACTTGCTTTGGTGTTTGTGACTTGGAGTGGGTTCACGGATTACCGTTGTTATTATTTTGTTACAAGTACAGTGAGAAAGGTGGGGGTGTGCTTCATTCAGAGGTGAGTTGGGACGATTGAAGGTTTTGAGCAG